ACACACACACACACACACACACACACACACACACACACACACACACAGAAGAATACTGGTACAGAAGCAGAGGGTATGAGAATGTGGTATTTCCATCCTCTCTGGACTTGTGCCTTCTTCTCAGGATCTTCATGTTCAGCTCCTGGGAGTGGTCCAGACTCCATCGTTTAGGGGATTTAATGGAGGTTTCATTGTAAGCATGATTACTGAATCATTGGCTGTTGCTCACCTCTTTCTGCAGGTTCTTCCCCCTGCCTTCCTATACTGGGGAGTGGGTTTGTCAGATCAGTCCCCAGCTGAGTCTCTTAGCAACCAGCCTGTTGTGAGCCCTGATAACAGGGTTTTGACAGCCATGATTTCAGTCCAACATAAGAGGTACCCCAGTCTGGAATTATCAAGGACTCAGGAGCTTTGTGTCAAGAACCCGGGACAAAGACTTGGTTTCTTACTGCAGCTCACGTCCTCCTGGGGCCTGTAGAGGTTTTTTGCCCTGTAGATTCATGGGGTGCTTACAGGCAGGCTTCCAGGCTTTTTGTTTATTTTTCTCCCTGGAACTATGTCTCGTAGTCAGGAAGTGAAAATATTCAGTGGCTTCTCTGCGACTGTCAGTACTGGTCATGCCTGTACTTACTGTTTAGTGATATTCTGTCATCCTTTCCTTTATTTGTAGCCACATTCCCTCACGAGCCATTGATTCTTTTGAGAGGCTATGCAGGAAGAGCCCACACTCTGCTTTCAGGGTAATTACTAGTGTATTTCCAAGGTGACCCATGAGGTGGGTTTTTCCTCCACTTTCAAAACTCATGGGCTTGAGTAAGCGTGTGCCAGGGTTGTTACCAAGCTAATCAAGAGGTAAAGCTGTGTCAAACGCCAGTGTGGCGTTTGATGCTTGCGTGAGACTTCGTATCAGCAGCAGTACCAGGCCTCAGGTAAACACAGTTGTCAGCTTCCACCACAGGACTTTGTCATGCTAAATCTGGCTTCCCTGATCTCCCTCTGCCTAGCTTGGGTGAGATAGGACTTCTTTTTTTGTTTGTATTTGGCTGTCAGTAGAGGATACTCAGTTCTTTGTCATTTTTTTTTTTTTTTTTTTACTTTTGTGTGGTACTGGGGGTAACCCTTCGGGCCTTGCTGATGAGGTATATCCTCACTCTCACCCCTGTGAAAGGAACTTTCATTCCCCAGGCCTACAATGTCTTCAGCCTCTGAGACTTCCTCCTTAATAAACTCACCCTTTCTTGTTCTTACTGAGCTCTGGGCTGGCTCAAACTCCTCTCCCAGCTTACTTACTCAATCTGGCTTTTCTCTCAGCCCCTAAATTGCTTTTCTTGGCCCCAAGCTCTCTCCAGCAAACTGCTCTTGGCTCTTTCTCATTATCTGGCTCGTTCTGTCTTTACCTTGTCTAGTTCTCTGATTCAGCCTCTATAAAACTCCTGGTAAAACTGCCTCCTCTCTCTTTGCATTGCCAATTAAGTAGCTTCCCTTTTCTCTCTCTTCTCCTTAGAGTAGGGCGTATTCTGTCCTGTCAAATCTCTCTCTGATTTGTCACCTTTTCTGCCACTCAATTAGACATCCCTTTCAAACATGGGTGCTTCTTTCTACGGCTAATTTTACCTTCGTTGTTTGGGATTAAAGGCTGTGTCATTGATTTTTTTTTTTTTTTAATAAAAGTTTTTTAAATTCTATAACCATTTGGACAGACATACTTTCCAGTTAGCAGCTGAGTGTTTCTTAAAATTATTTTGCATTTAGCTGTGTATCTAGATTGTTCTCTTTAAACTTTTTCTGTAAAACTGCCTCCATTCCACAAACTGATCTGCCACAAACTTAGCTCTACTACACTGCCTCTCCACTCACACTGAACAGAACTGACAAGAACTCAGAGGTCTGCATGTCTTCTGAGTGCTGGGATTAAAGCTTTTCTTTATCTGAAACTTGCTCTGTACCAGGCTGGCCTTGAACTCAGACTGTTTGCGCTGTCTCCTGGGATTAAAGGCGAGTCTATATTCCAGCCGGATCACACACAGACCTAAAAGGTCTTTGGATGTGATCTCTTGCCAGAACAGCCATGTTGTGAATTAACATTCCTCCATACACACAGAGCCAGGGGTCAGCATTGCTGTGATATGCATAAAGGCGGTCTGACCTTAAGGGCCGAGAAAGAGGAAGTCGGAGTCAGCAAGGGGCAGGCCAGACAGAAGGACCTGGACAGAGACTGGGTGTGATAGGCTGCAGGCTGCCCTGCCAGACTAGTGGGACCATTCTTGTCCCTGTCAGCTCAGTAAAGAAAGTACCTGCGTTCCCCCACCAGAATGCCTCCCTCTTTCCCTCCTGCCAGCTGTGGCTCCTAACAGTGTGTCCGTGACTGAGGCCTGACTCCGAGCTTCCGTGGAGGCCATCTCTAGCATGTTCTTCAGCAGGAGGGCATTGGGAAGAAGGTTCAGAGGTGGCTCCGGTTGGCCTAGACTTTGACCGGTAGCTCATCTTTGCCCTCTTTTAACCTCCAGTGGCTAGGAAGTAATAGGAGCAATGTATTGTGACATGATTTATGGAACTGGAAGAGGGGAGGCCCTGTTCCTGCCCCTCCTTGGCTACTGATTGTCAAATGGCTTGAGTTCAAGGTCCCCATGATTAGAAACTGGGGACAAGGCCCTGTGGTGGAGCAGCCTCTGGTGCGTTGCTTCATGGCCTTCTACCTCTTCACAGCGGCACAGCCTCCGAGCACCTCATTTCCCTCACTCCCATCATCTCATTGCTGCCACTTTTGTGTCCTTTACCCTTGCAGTCTAAAACTACCTTGGCATGGCATTCATGGGTCTGGGGCTGGGAGTGACAGATGAGTGAAAGTCTGGGGCGTTCGGCAGAAACTGGGGTGACTTCTGTGACTGCGCCCTCCCTCCAGCTAAGCGGAGAGGTGCTTGGAGGATGTTGATTGTACACTGGTCCCCGTGGCTGTCCTGGGAGACTTTGGGTGTGCACTTTGTATTGAGTGTGGGTGGCCATGGAGTTGCATTTTCTGAGTCTGTTCAGAGCTAGCTGAAGGGAAAACTCAAGAGACATCTGAGCTGGTCCTGGGGCCTGGCCAGTGAGTAAGGCAAAGGCCTCATTGTGGGCGAGCGTAGCATATGCTGAGGCTGTTTAGAGAGACACACGTGAGGCAGGTCCAGACCTGGGACAGGTGCTATGGGTTGGCCTTGGGTGGCCATCTAGCATGTCAGAGGATGCTTGCTCAGTGGACGTGAAAGGACATGAAATCGGGAGCTCTCTGGTTAGGGAAGGAACTAGCTTCTTCCTTTGGGAGTTGTCTAACCTGTTGATTCTGGGAGTAGCCTTGAGTGCTGCCAGCTGGGACTATGTGCCCAAAATGGTTATAGGCAGGAAGAGACCGTTGGGGAACAGAAAGTGTATCCCTGAGTATTAGGGAAGGCTTCCTAGAGTTGCTGAGATTGAGTTTGGCTTATAACAGAAGCTGCTGCCAGCACTGTCCTCACCAGTGTGCAGCTGCCGTACCTGACAGTAGCTGTAAGGCAGAGGTAGGAAGTGCTTTGTTTCTAGGCTGTAAGACACAGTCCCCTGGGGCTGGAGAGATGGCCCAGAGGTTAAGAGCACTGCTTATTCTTCCAGAGGACCTGAGTTCAATTCCCAGCAACCACATGGTGGCTCACAACCATCTGTAGTGAGATCTGGTGCCCCCTTCTGGTGTTCAGGTGTGCATGCAGACTGAACACTATATACATAATTAAATAAATAAATCTTTAAAAGAAAAAGAAAACCACACTTAAAAAAAGACACAGTCCCCTGCTCTGATGTTTTACTGTCCTTCTTAGCTTATCACACAGACTTTTAACCACCACAACCAGCTGGCACAGAAAGCCCGGAGAGAGAAGCGAGCTCGGCAGGAGACTGAGCGCCGGGAGAAGGCAGAGCGGGCGGCCAGGCTGGCCAAGGAGGCCAAGGCAGAGACCCCTGGGCCACAGATCAAGGAGCTAACTGATGAGGAGGCAGAGAGACTGCAGCTGGAGATTGACCAGGTGAGATTGGGCTTCCCTCCCTCTGCCTCAACCCCAGTCCTGACTGCATTAGCCCTGGGGAGTAAGGCATTTTGTTCCAACTGTGTGCCCTTTGCCACAGAAAAAGGACGCAGAGAATCATGAGGTCCAGCTCAAGAATGGCAGCCTTGACTCACCAGGGAAGCAGGTAAGATAGACTAGCAGGGCCCCTGAGCACCAGCTTCGTCCTTTCAACAGAATTCCCTCTTCATCCTCTCCTGAACCCAGCCTTGAGCACCCTTCTATACTTCAAGGTCCCACCCCAAAGACATGGAAAAAACTAGAACAGAGCTAGTGTGGTGGCCCACACCGGTAATCTCAGCACTTGGGAGGCTGAAGCAAAATATTTTCTTAACCCTGGAATAGTGGCCAACACCTTTAATCTCAGCATTCAGGAGGAAGAGGCAGACAGATCTGAGTTTCAGGCCAGCTAAGGCTATGTAGAGAGACTCTGTCTTTAATTTAAAAAAATAATGAGTTTTTGATAACCCTTCTGGCCTTAATCCTGGGACAGGAAAGCCCACAAGTAGGCTGAAAATATGGCTTGGTGGTTAGAAGTACTTGTTGCTTTTGCAAAGGACCCGGATTTGGTTCTCGGAACCCATGTGGTGGCTTGCAGCCATCTCTAACTTGAGTTGTAGGTTATCTGATGCCCTCTTCTGCACTCTTACAGGTACTAGGCATTCACATGCTAACTGTGCATATAAGCAAATACTCATATACTTAAAACAGTTCTTAGAATGCTCAGGAGTCGGAGGTACCATGAAGGGTGGTCTGAGGGGCATGGCTCAGCCACAATCCTGTCACGCAGTAGTTTGAGCCCTTCTAGCAGAGGTCAGGACCTGTTTTCACACAACAGTGGCCCAGGGGGTGGAGGTCTGCCATGCTTAGGTCTGCTTTCTTGTGGCTGTTCTGTCCAGCGACAGTTCTGGGCCTGGTCTGTCAGGTAAGTCATTGAGCACCCTTGACTGTGAGCAGGATGCTGAGGAGGAGGAAGAGGAGGAAGATGAGAAGGACAAAGGAAAGCTGAAGCCCAACCTAGGCAATGGGGCTGACCTGCCCAACTACCGCTGGACCCAGACCCTTTCGGAACTGGATCTGGCAGTGCCCTTCCGAGTCAGCTTCCGGCTGAAGGGGAAGGACGTGGTGGTGGACATCCAGCGGCGGCACCTCCAGGTGGGCCTCAAAGGGCAGCCCCCGGTGATCGACGGGCAGCTCTACAATGAGGTGAAGGTGGAGGAGAGCTCCTGGCTCATCGAGGACGGCAAGGTGGTGACGGTGCATCTGGAGAAGGTATGCCGGGCCCTCCTAGCCTGCTGCCTGCTGCCTGGGTTGTCGGCCCGGGGACTTACTCCTCACTCTTCCCCTGCTTTGTAGTCAGGAAACTGCTTTGCTTGGGGCAGTTGGGTGAGCAAGTTGGGCTTGAACAGTCTTGAATGCAAGCCTCTCCCTTCCCATTATGCTTGCACATGGGTTCAGTTTTACACAAACTTGCACACCTACTGTGTGCCAGGCACTGTTCTAAGGACTAGAGAAAGAACAGTGAACAAAATGTAGGAAAATCTGCCCTCATAAAGCCCACGTTGTCTCCTGTGCTGCCTTTCTAGAGGCAGGGAATTTACTGAGGTAAATACAGGCGGTGTTTGGAAAGGGTAAGAGTCCAAGGGCAGCTTCCCCGGCAGAGAGAGCCCTGCTTACCTGGCTGCAGCCCCTGTGCCCTTGTATTTGACTTTCCTCCTATCCAGAACCTCTTTTTTTGTTCTTTGCTTTTTTTTTTCTCCTTCCTTCATGTCTTCTGCTAATGTCTTAAGGCCTAGTCCAGCTGTTGAGCACCCTGCATGTTTTCTTGGCCCAGTTCATTGATGTAACTGTTGGCCTCTGTGTATCTTCCCCAGCTGCTGGGTGGGCAGAGCTCTGGTCCTCCTGTACCCCTGGTCCCAGCACAGGCCTACATGGGCTTTGGATACAATTTGTGGATGGGAGAGAGTTTAGTTTAAAAGGGTTGAGCTATAATTCTTGGGTCATAGAGTGAGTTCTACTGCCCCATGGATCTCTTCCTCCTCCTCCTCCTCCTTTCAGATCAATAAGATGGAATGGTGGAACCGCTTGGTTACCAGTGACCCCGAAATCAATACCAAGAAGATTAACCCTGAGAACTCCAAGGTGGGTCCTGGCTGGCTAGGGAAGCTTTTGTGTGGAGGTGGAGAGGAGCTGCAGTGTCTCACTCCTTCTTCTCCCTGCCCGGCCCTAGCTGTCAGACCTGGACAGTGAGACTCGCAGCATGGTGGAAAAAATGATGTATGACCAGAGGCAGAAATCCATGGGCTTGCCCACCTCTGATGAGCAGAAGAAACAAGAGATACTGAAGAAGTAAGCAGCTTGGGGTTGGGGCGGGTTGCTGGGGTACTTAGGCCTGGTGGGGTGCCACTGGGTGGGACTCTGTCCAGACTGTCCTGCCCCCTCCAGCACAGACCAGCTGAGTTCATGGTTCTGTGGCCTTGGCTTGCCTACCTGACCACTTGGTAGGGTCACTTCAGGACAAGCGATAGGTAACAGGCGGCCATCGCCACCTACTGGAAACCGGTGCCGCTGCTGCCTCTTCCCCTTCCAGCCCGGAGCTGGCTGAGGCCCCACCTGGCCTGGCTCCAGGTTATTCATGGTTCTGAACTGGTCAAGCTCAATGTCAGGAAATAGGCTGGGGGTGGGGGACACAGGGAGGAGCATGAATAGGATGACCGCTCACTTCACTTTTCTACTTTTGCTTTCTAGGTTCATGGATCAGCACCCAGAGATGGATTTCTCCAAGGCCAAATTCAACTAGCTTGTTTGCCTTCCTGAACTCTTGTGATTGAGCCCCTAGCCACTCAACCTCCTTTCCCTTTCCCTGGGACCTGGGAACCTTGGGGCTGGGGCAGGCAGAGGACTTCCAGGCATGAGAGCTCCAGGGCTTCACTGGGGAAGGGCTGGTGTTGGGGATCTTGTCCTCCCTCCCCATTTGGCCTGTTACACATTAAAACTATTTACCCTGCTCCACCTGTGTTCTCCCTCTACACCCTCCCTGGCTGGGGCTGGGAACTGGGGTTTTGGCATTGTCTGCTAGGGCAGGTTTTTGACTCTCTGGATCTCAGCTTCTCCCTTTAGGGGACTATGACAAGGCTTTTAGGGTGTGTGCACATGTGCTGTAGCACATATATGAAGTTCAGAGGACAGCTTTCTGGGTCAGCTCTCTTCATGCTTGTGTAGGTTCCAGGGATGGACCTCAGGTTGGCAGGCTTGTGCAGGTGCCTTCCCTCTGAGCCCCTCACCTGCCATGTGTGGTTCTGAGCAAAGGTGTCTTTCTGGCCACTGATTCCCATTAGATGTTATCCGGAGCCCAGTCCCAGCATTCCAACTGGACTGTCTGCCAGAAAGCCTGGGTGACATTGCCTAGGTGTGGGAGATGGGAGGACCCTGCTCCTCCTCACGGCCAGTACCTATGCAGTAAAGGGCCCAGAGGCACTTCTGCTCAGATCTGGCCCTTGGGGAATCTGTATTCACAAAGGGTGGGGGCCACTGACTGCAGGGTTGTGCGATTAAAAAGGTCTCCATAGACCTTTTTTTGTGAAGGCAAACTACTTCCCACAGAGCTGTTGGAAGATTGGTTTCTAGGCCAGGGCTGAGTTTAGGGACTGTTAAGTCTTACTCTGGTTTCCCCTCTCCTGTAATCTTTTCCTTTAAAAAAAAATACATTTATTGAAAGCGAATGACTGTTTTGTCTATATATGTGTGTACAGGCACCATATATGTGCCTGGTGCTCACAGTGGTCAGAAGAGGATGTTGGATTGTCTGGAACTGTAGTTAGGGGTGGTTGTGAGCCATCGTGGGGTGCTGAGAACTGAGACTGTCCTCTGTAAGCCAGGCCCTGCCCCCCGCCTTTTGAGGCAGAGTCTTGGCATATACTCCTGGTTAGCTTTGAACTCAAGATGTAGACCAGGCTGGCCTTGAATGCAGCAATCTACTTGTTGGCATTCGTAAGTGGGATTATAGGTGAGCAGCATCGCTCCCCTTTTCTGCTTACAGTGGTAAGAAGTAAATAAGCCAGGACCCCACACACATGCTAGGTGGCATTCACCTGGTAATGCAGCAGATCCAAGGTGAGGCCAGTTTGATTGCTATAATTCTACTTGGGTCCTGTGGTCACAGCCCCAGGAGACTGCTGTATCCACTCAAGCTAGATAACGGTAGTTACCACTTTCCAAAGACTGCCCAGACACAGTAAACTGGGCTGTAAAGGCACAGCCCCTTTGCTAGCCTGTGGTCACTGGGCTAGCTGTCCTGCCCAGGCTTGCTGACCGGCTAAAGAACTACCCAGGCTGACTTCAAACTTAATAACCGAGCAGGCCCTGTACATCACCCTCTCAAGTTGTGCAATTGTATGTTTGTACCAGACCCAGCACCTGTAAAGAAAAGCTAAGGGCCCTGGACAGAGCTAGCCCCCATGCTCAAACAAGGGGAACCTGCCTTGCCTCAGGGAGCCCAGCTCTCAGGTTTGGTACCAGTTGCTAGCTGAAGGGAAGCCTTTAAGCACCAGGCTCCCTCAAGTTGCCAGCAAGAGTTGGCTAAGGTGAAAATAGAGAGCTGTCTTAGCACCAGGGAGAGGTGAGAGGGGTCACTGACTAGTGATGAGGGACTTAGGCATTCTAAGGGGTGGCCGGAAGCAGTGGGGGCACAGGGCAGTCCAGGCAAACCCTGTACCAGTTCCTTACATTCCGAAGCCAAAGCTAGTCTGGATTCCACCTTGCCCACAATCCTGACCCAGACCAGATGTCTGTGTCCTCTGCAAAGCAGCTGTCAGGACAAGCAGCACAGGGTGGACTATGTAACTCCGATGACCAGGCAGGTGTATGTACTTGTAACTATGGTCATGTTAAGAACATAGAATAGCCAAGAACCAATACAAACTGCTCAGCAATATAACAAGTGGGCACTGCCCACGGAATCAATAGAGGCCACGCTCTCCCCAACCCAACCTACTTAGTTTCCGTAATTGCTTAGGGTGACATGGGAATGGAACTGGGAAGCTACTTCCCAAGGCTTTGTTTTCAGGCCACAGGAACAGACAGGCCTGGGCACCGGTCAGTGCAGCTGGAGAGGCAGAGGACATGGGCACCGTGGCCCTGTGGAATGTACATGGTCTAAGATCATTCAATGAAAGCAGAAGCCAGAGAGGTCACGGCGTCTGGGCTCAGGATCTGGCCTCCACACAGAGGTCCTGGCTCCTCTCCTCCTCTGGCTGTGCTTCTTCCAAGAGGGGCCGGGACGGCTGGGCCAGTGGGGCTAGCAGTACACCTGCAGCAGGGGTGCCCCTGAAGAGTCTGTGTCCGTGCCCTGGAAGGAGGAGTCTTGGCTGGCTGGGTACCCTGGTTGGAGGAGGAAGCAGAGGCTCAGAGAGGGGAAGGAGCTCAGCCAGGGAGAAGCCTGCTGAGATGAAACAGAGCAGGGCTTGAGCCTGGGCCGCAATAACAGCCTGGGCAACCCATTCTTGATGTTTAAACCCCAGCTGTTGTCTGTCAGAGGGTTGTGAGGCCCAGAGGACAGCAGTAGAAATCATAGAGGGAGCTTCTGTAGCTGCAGGCTGGAAGGCCTTCTGTCCACCTTACTCCCCAGATCATGTCTAGCTCTATCCTGGGAACCTTTTTGCTTCAAGCCAGCTTCCAAGGTTGCAACGGGTATGTGGTTGCTCAGGCCTTTTTCCGTTTCTGATCCCATCCTCACCCACCCCAAAGGAAGCTGGAAGGTCATCTGAAGGACACCTAGTGTAGTTTCCCACCCTCTGGTCAGGTCAGGACCACACCTGGGGCTCCATATGGCCTCAGCTTCCTGGCCATGGCGTCTGCGGTTGTCTCCTGGGAGATCTGCACTGTCAGTTCTAGGGAGTATGAATAAGCAGTGGTTATTATCACATTCTTCATAAAGCTCAGTCTCTGTCCCTATTGCAGCGCAGTGAGGAAGGGTGCTTACAGTAGAAAAGGCTAGAGAATTATGATTAAAACAAGGATGTGCGTGTGCGTGTGCGTGTGCGTGCGTGTAGTAGGCAGGTGTTTGGCTGGGCCAAGTCAGTGATGCAAATTCTTGTTTTTTGTTTGTTTTGTTTTTTGAGACAAGGCTGGCTTGGAACTCTTGCCAGACTTTTTTTCAGTCTCTGAAATTCTGGGATACAAGTGCGAACCAAGCCTTCCTTGTTTCTGCAGAGGTCCAAATTCTTGGGCTTTGGGCATTCAGGTCAGGCCTGAGAGCTATTCTGCCAATTGGTAATAGGGGAGAGACGCCTGACAGATGTACAAGAAAATTGCTGGGGACAGTGCAATGGCCAAGGCTCTTTGCATGCTCCTTACAGTTGTTGGCTTCACTGTGCCCAAGAGTTTAGAGAAGTGCTGCTGGCTAAGGGGAAACCCCACAAACCCAGCCCAACCCTCCTGTGGCTAGAGCTTTCCTCCCGGGCCAACCTACCGTCCTGGCTGAGGCCAGAGCCCACCATGGTCTCATGGCCACTGTCGGGGGCAGCAGCAGGGGCGGTAGAGCGGGCTGAGCGCCCCTCGGAGGTCTGTGGGCGGGAGCGGCTTTTGCGGGTACTGATGCGGATGATGCCGCGCACCAGGCGGCCTTCGGCGTCTTGTTCATCCAGGTGATAGTCCTGTGTGATGCTGCTGATCAGATCTGAGATCTTGCTGGTCTTCTCCAGGAACACGGTGTCCGACGTGCACTTGGCCAGCTCGTCAATCTGGTGTACGCTGAACAGCTCTGTCAGCTTCTTGAAAATAAGCACGTCAATCTCCCGGCTCGACATGGAGCCACTGCCCATCTCGGGCAGGTCCAGGTCCGATTCATGGAAGGAGTAGTACTCCTCAGAGCCGCGGGGGCTGCTGGTGAGGGTGCTAGGCAGGCTGTGCCGTGTGGGAGGAGGCTCTGCCAGGGGCTCCTTGCAGCAGGAGTCCGCGTCAGGGACTGGGGAGGTGGCATGGCGGTAGGGGTAGACCGGGATGCCCTTGAGCTTAACGTCAGGATAGCTGAAGCTACTGCCCATGCTGGACTTGAGCCGCTGGCCATCCCGGCGGCTGGGGGGCGCACGGTCCGGGCTGGGCGGCACACCATTGTGCTCCTTGGCCCAGGCAGCTTCGGGAGACCCTGCGGTGGCGTCCCCAGCAGATAAGCAGGGGCTGCAGCCCCGCACACAAGCCCCACAGCGCTGTAGGCAATCCCTGCAGCGTCGGAAGCAGAAGGCAGCCCTGCACCAGTCCCACCCCCAGGGGCGCCAGAGGAGACAGCAGGTTGGGGGCTCGGTGGCTGGTTCCACAGAAACTGAAATGAAGGTGATACTCTCAGGCCCATGATGGCCAGGGTCCTTGGGGTCTGGCCTGCGGGTGCGGCGGCCTGGTGGGGGCTGGGAGCGCTCATCATTCGTTTCCAGGCATAGCTCTGCTGGCCGCTCCCAAGGCCCCAAGCGTGGAGGCCCAGATGATGGGCGGGGCTGTCCCGGCCTGGGCATGGCTCAGAGCATGGCTTGCTGTAGCCAAGCACCTGCAGGGGAGAAGCCAGGAGGAGGTCAGACAAGCTCAGCAGAGGTCAGCGACAAGCTCCTGGGCTGATCTGAAGAGCTTTAGATTTCTGGGAAGCCTGTGATGAGGTCTGACGGAGCATCCTGTAAGCATCCTGTAAACCCTTGCAAACGCTGAGATCTTCTTGCCTCAAAGAGAAAGTTCTCTTTGTGGTCTAACTTAGGCTTTAAAATCTCCTGGACTTCTCAATGAATGGCTATTATTGAAAACAAAACAGAAAATTACAAGTGTCAGTGGGGATGCAGAGAAACTGGACCATTTGTGCTTTGCCAGTGAGGATATGAAATGAGGTGGGAAACGGAACAGTTCTTCAAAACTGAAACAGGGTTGGGAATGCAGCATGGACGGCCTACACAGCATAAATGAGGCCCTAAGTTCATCCCCAGCACCCCAAACAAAAACTAAAAACCAGCTGGACGGATGGCTCAGCAGTTAGGAATGTGTACCCTGCTGGCCAGGCAGGGCCCCTGTACCTGGCGCTCCAAGGATTAGACACCCTCTATCTTTACTCACTCAAAGGCAGCGCCTCTCCCTACTCCACAAGTATACACAAATAATTTTTAACAATTATACATTTGTTTTATGTTTTATGTATATGAACATTTTGCCTGCCTATACATATGTGTATCACGTGTGTGCCTGGTGCCCAAGAAGGTCAGAAGAGGATTAAAGGAGCTCCTGGAACTAGAGCTACAGGCAGTTATGAGCTAGCTAGCTGTGGATGCTGGGTATAGACTCTGGGTCCTCTGGAAGAACAACCAGTGATCTTAACAGCTGAGCCATCTTTCCAGCCCTTATTATTTTTAAAAATTATGTGTCTATGGGGCTGGAGAGATGGCTCACAGTTAAGAGCACTGGCTACTCCTCCAGAGGACCTGGCAATCCCTAACACCCCTGCAGTAGCACCTTCTTTAACTCCAGTCCCAGGGGATCCAATGCCCTCTTCTGGCTTCTGTGGTCACTGCACATGAGGTACATATATGTATATGTATGTATGTATGTGTGTGTGTATGTGTGTGTATATATATATATATATATATATATATATATATATATATATATATAT